CAGCAGATAAATACCATATGGATATATTGTTTGTCCTCGTCTTTCGTTGCAGGCGTAAATGGAAACTTTTTCGGAATGTAAATAGGAGTTCAGTCACACTTGGTGTAAACAACTCTTGGAATAAATACACTTGTACCTTTGAGAGATCCGGTCAGAACATCAAAGTTAATGACTTTTGACATCATTTGTTTGACGACCATTCATATGCCATAGCAAAGACTTTTAAGTTAAGTCAAGGTTACGAAACAACATTAGTACTCCTCGAACGTTTCAGTTAAATTTATAAGTGCTAAGCTGTTCAAAGTAAATCAAAGTAAAAAAAAAAGATAGTTTACTTTCTACTCGGCCTTTTGCACTATATTGTTATTTATGATCTATTCTGATGTAGCATTTTAATACAGATTAATGCATCTAAGGTCATTTTAATTAAGTTCAAAATCCTGTTGTTTTTGGAGTCAGTATTGGAATGTTTGCAGTCATCTTTTGATTAGGTGAACTCAGAAAAGGCAGCAACATCAATGAATCCATTTCCAATTCTAACGGAGTAATTTTTAAGATACATTTATCTAATAATGGATCTTAGTGTTTTTCATTCCAAACAGCCAATCAGAAAAGTGTCGATGTTCTGATAGCATTTTGTTTTAATTCATACGCATTTTTTTGTTTAACATTCGGCATTTAATTTGTTCAAACACGTACAATTCTTCACCTATGAAACAAAGTAATTTAATTCATCCTGACATTTGAAATATCAGAGCGACTTAGTCTAAAGTTCTTCCTGAAAAGAAAGACCTCGTCTGAAAATGATTTTTAAGAAGAAACTTGGTTTATCTTTTGCTAACATTTCTTTATACTTTGTGACAACCGCAATTTCCCCATGTGCTTGGGCAATTGGAACTTCATCTAAGATAATTACTTTGTACTTTATGAATTTACCTGCCTCATTAGACCAATGTTTAACATTACAGGTTAATGTTGTACTAATAGGTTTGGGCATCGTAATATAACTTTTGGAAGTGATGTATCCTCAAGCAAAATTACTGCTATTCCTCTAAATCAATTTAGCAATACTAATTCATGTTACTATGCAAAAAGTTAACGATTGTGTTGAGCATTTCAAACTTTTCTTAGAATATTTTTTTTTCAGAATTTAGATCCTAAGGTTTTCCACGGTGGATTTTCTTGTAATTGTTAGCATCTTCAAATTCTATACAAAAATTTGCCATTGACTTTCCATTTGTTCGAAAGACAGTTTCAATTTCTTTATTTATAAAACAGACAGCTTTTACAATAAGGAAACCCTTAATTAGAGTCGTTCATAAGATTTTCCGTATGTCTATCGATTAATACTGCTGCATCCAACGGCTGAAACATGATACTTATAAATTCAAACAACTGCCAGAGTTGATCTTTTTTGGGCAATATTTGGCATAGCTGTTGTTGCATTTTACTTTACTCCATTCCGCGCGGTTTGATTTAATGGATAACATTGGCTGTGTAATGTACATTAATTAAAAATTTAATGTAGCCAGATGTTGCACATTTACCAAGGAGTTCTCAGCAGACATATTTTTCTTTCTTTCAGTCTGCAAGACTTCGTCTTCCGCGGCCATGAATGTGCTTATGTGGTAGACAAAGATTTCGGAATTTCATCAAGCGGAGCATCACCCTAATACGTCAACATCTTTGGTGGCGGTTCTTTAAGTAGCAATATTTCAGTTTCATCTCAAATACTTGTGCTACTAATTTAGGCCGATCGCATGATTTTTGATTTAGTAGTAAGTTTTCCCTGATTTTTCTCCATTTAGTATTACACTTGAATGTTAGGAATAAGTCTAGATTGCCTTTTTTCTGACCATTGCCATATAATCTAAGAATATTTTTGGCCTTTCGATGAAGGTTGAAGTCAAAACAACTTCTTTCCATGCAATATGTTAAGATCCTCAAAAATGTGGTTAGTCACAAATCGGTGCAGGACATCAATGTCTTCCGATCTCTTGTGATTTATTTTTTTCAAAAGCTGTTCCAACCGTTCGTCTCTGTCTTGCAATAGGCATGAACAAGAAATTGGCGAGTCGGCATTTTTGTGTTAATGAACTGGTTAAAGTTTCCATCACGAATGGAAAAATGGTATAAATACCATTATTTCGGGATACATTTTCTTGACTAACAGCTTTCTGCAAATCTGTGATTCACCCTGATTCCCCAATTTGGAAAAGCAAAGGGTAGCACATTGTGTCTCAGAGTCAACTCAAGATGGAAATATTTTATGAAAATCGCATTTCTGGGGGTCCATCAAATGCACTGTGAAAAAATGCAGCAATTTATCCGCTGGTAGTGGGAGCGTTTGTTCTGTCGAAATGCACATTTTTTACTGTTGCTGTCAAGGATGTTATGCTACATTCAATAGACGATGTGTTTTTTTCTGATTGGCAATTCACATTGCTCAAATTTGAGCTTCTCATATCGAAAAGCTTTATCAATACAAACTACAAAGCAACAGCTAAACATTTAATCTCTACACCAAATACTCTTTTAGAAACATTGTATTTTAAAGGTCACATGAGTTAAAAGTCTTAGGTGTGTTATCCCCACCCCTCCCGAAATAAAAAAAATTTACGCTTTTTAAAAATGTAATCAATATTTAAAAATAGGATAAATATTTTAAATTAAATCATTTAATTTTATTTTATTTTTAAACTTACTTATAATGTTTGGTGAGTAGTGCAGCGGTAACATAATGTCTTGCCAAATTTTGTTATTTATAGGTTTACAAAAGAAATCTGAAAATAATTATGTTCACATTTCTAGTTTCCATATAAATCAAAATTACACTTTTTAAAGCACATTTTATATCAGTAACGTTATAAAGTATAACAATTTAATTGTTGAAATATTTCAAAGCAAAGTTCATGTGTCGTCGTCTGTGTCTAATAATTATACTATAAAAAATATGTAACTTTAAAAAAATATAACTTTTCACCAACTTACTCATATATTTCAGTTTATTTCCTCCTCTACTTGCATTAAATTTTAGAATATTAGGTCTTTTTCCGGAAATCATAGATGAATTTAGACTACTATACCACGCAATTGCAATGTTGATCAGCTCATTGTCAGACGTTTCACATTTGCAACTGACTTCTGAATTTTCTTCAACATCCTCATGGCAGTTCCTAAGCACCAATAGAGGATAATCTGTCAAATATTTAAATAACATTCTTTTTTTTTAAAAAAAACGTTGTTATCTTTGATGGTTGTCTTTAAGGATGTACGCTATTTTTAATGACGACATACTTTGTTCAATGAGAATCACGTGTATACTTGAGAACATGCTCACACTGTACGCATTTCTCTATAACTTACGTACTATAAACTAAAGTGATATGTGGTCGAAAGGCATTTTGGTTCCTTAATATGTGATTACGGCATTTGCTTAACACTGAATATATATTTTTACTGATAGAAAGGCTTAAAAAATCTTGACTAAAAATGTTCACATTTCTTTAACTATTCTCAGTTCCTATGCCCCACTAATGAAGTGATCAAAATGTGTTTAAATAAGTATTTTGCGATAAATTGTGACACGCGAACTTTGTAACACTAATTGTGGAAGTATACTTATCTTTCTCAGGGATATTTTTGGAAATGTGAAAATTTAAAATTACCCCCAATAAAATTATATTTAAAAAAAAAATGTTATAGAAGATAATAGTAAATGAAAATGAAATGTAAGGTTAACTTTTAAAATGTGACTATCATACTTTAGATAAGTATCTTGATCTTTGTTTACGTTTACATTTCCAAAGGATCAAAATTAGAGATGAGATTAATAATTTAATCCCTTCCCAACTATTTTAAATGTATATATATTTATATAATATATATATATATATATATATATATATATGTATATATATATATATATATAAATATATATATTAATTACTGAACTTTTCACACAACTTAAAGAACGTAGCACTTGTTTGGAGGTGTGGATACAATTATTTATTAATTAACTTTTATTATGTCAAGTTATTTTTGTTCCTCAAATCTAATTGGTATTTAAATAATTTTAGACTTTTGATATCCATTTTTATCCATAATTAATTATTTAAAACATTTAACACAAAACCTTTGGTCAAGAAAATGTGTGCAAGATTCAAAATCCAATTTTCCTTTTTAACATATAAAAAAACGATTAAAAAAAGCAGTTAAATGGGAACAGTCCCTTATTCCCTAATAATATGACAGCATATTAAATAAAAATAATAAAAAACGAAAAAATAATTAAATAATAATAAAAATGTTGTTATTTGTTTATGAAAACGTATGAATTATAGTTATTTCTAATCATTTAGACAATTGTTATACTGTTTTTAATTCGTTTATTATTATTATTTTTTTTTTTTTAAATAATCGTGAAATAGAACTTACGTAAATTGACAATGACAGATTTATATGTACCGACTCTTTCATCTACTTCACTGTTCGTTAAGTTAGGGTAGATATTGATTACAACTTCATAAAGAGCAGGCCGAAGACACACATCGGGAATAATAAGTATACATTCTGCTTCATAATACATAGGTTTAATATGAATAACCTTATTTTCATATTGAACTTCTCTTTCTAAACATTGATTAGCTATATCCTTAAAGGGGAAAAAGACAACAAAAAAATGATATTTGTATTAGTAGCTATATATTTTCATAATTATGTATATAGTTTCCTGGATATATATACAAATATATATATATATATATATATATATATATATATATATATATATATATATATATATATATATTAATATATATATATATATATATATACATTGATACATAAATAGAACTTTTAATTGGCATATACCTTTCCACACAGATAGAAAGTCTTTTATAGAAAAAAAAAACCGGATTAGTCTTTTAATTAATTTATAAGGACAATATTTAACGAATTTAACATAATTAACAGTATTAAAAATAGTTTTTATGTTATAGTCAGAATAAAACACCTACTCCTCTAGTAATATTGACAATTTTCCATTTGACCTCATGATAAGTCGGTGAAGTTTTACAGGTAACAAAGAGATGGTTGACATCGAGGAATTGCACACAATTAATCATCGTCACCTTTGCTAATAAAAAGGCAAAACATATTCTTTTTTGTTTAAAAAGAAGATGTATGACAAAAAATAAATTTAAAAAAAAAAAATTAAAACCTGTTTTAAATGATTGCAACACAAAAAAAAGCCTATAACACGATCATATTTTTAATACATTATACTTTGTTATATGATACATGATGGTGCACTTTCGTGAATAACTAATTCAATTTCTAAATAAAACTTTCAAAGCCACTTTAAAAATTTATATATTAAAAAAAACAACATAAACTTACTATAGAAATTGACCCTGCAACTGGTTAAATCTCTAGCTTGCAGTGAAACATACCAGTCTGTGTGTGTATGCTCTCTTTTTTTTCGGATCATACTAAAAATCTGAACAAATATCGTAATTTCTGAACTTGTTTTGTTTAAAGTTGATGTTGTTCGAATTAAACTCGGGATGTAATCGTTGCACACATTTAAAGAGGAGCAGCTGGCCACGGCCGTTTCTTCTCTGATGATTTCAATATTCAGTATTCTTTCTTTAGGCGGTGTCCACCTAAAAGTCATCGTGTATTCTTTTCCTTCTTCAGCTGGTGGACAGAACGGGGTGACAGTCACTGATCCTGTAAAGGAATAAGTGGCGGCTAACAGTTTTTAAAAAAAATCACACTGGTTGCATAAACGGAAAAAAAAGTATTGTTACTGATAAATTTCAAGTTTATTTTTTTGCTCAATCCTTGTTTCAAAAGCAAGCGGGGGGTCACACGCACACACACACGCACACACACACGCACACACACACACGCACACACACACGCACACACACACGCACGCACACACACAAACAAACATACACCACACAAAATTAAACGGGAAAAACACAAATTGATAAGTATAAAAGATTAGGTAGACAGAGGTTATGACGGAGTAAAAGATTATATGAACGGTCAAATAGACATGACTTTTTATTCAAATAAATATGTTAATGGATATATTAAAATATTATATGACTTACCACAGTTTATAATGACCAGCCTTGATAAAAATAATAAATAAATAAAAATACCTATATCCATTTTGTGGTATAATTTTCACTACTGTAATTATTTTAGATATGTGAAGCTCACTGTTTAAAACTGATATACTTTATCATTTTCCCCAAACATAATAAGAATTTACATTGGGTTAGGTAGAGTCTACAATAAAAAGTGTTTTTTTTAAAATTTATTCCCTATTTGTTATTTATTTTTTCCCTATTATTTATGCATTACACTTACACCTTATCATAACTCAAACACATATGAAATATATATTTTTTTTGTAAATTTCAACAGTAAATTCTACAACTGTGAATGTATACGAGTCGTAAGCTGTCGAAATAATTGACATCCTTATACCAGTTTAATTTAAACACATTTTTGTAGCCGGTAGTGGCCCCTCCACATAGTTTCGGAAATTACCATAAATATTTGTAAGCTGTAAGGACAATATTTAATATAAAATGTATGTTGTTATTTTCGATCAGTTAGTTAGTCCTGTCATTAAACTAATTTTAATTTGAATTGGACAGAACATTTTTATGTATTTTAGATTTAATATATTACATTATAATAGTACGGTTAAATAGTCAAAGCTTCAACTTATTCGAAAGTGTTAAGCAGCAATATTTTCCGGATTTCAGTTAACTCTTTTGTCCTAAAGGTAATTTAGGTGATTTTAACCTGTCCATGTTAGATTAGTATCGTCGGATATGGTGGGATGTTCATTCGTTTTTTGAATTGTATTTTCGAGAGTCGGCTGAATTCTTGACTCTTGTACTTGGCTTCTCAAAATAATACTTTTTGAAACGTAACAAGCACTATTTTTAATATTTACATTGATATTTTTCAAGATTCTCATCAGTTAATAATATGAAAACAAAATGCACCTTTGAGAAAAGTATAGCTGTTAACTTATCACTGATATTCTCCACATGTTTAGGTAAGTAAATATGAAAGTATGTCCATGACAACAAATGCCTAGCAACAGAAATGTTTCTAATCTATCTATGCATTCATTTGTGTATCATTGTATGTATAGAAGTATAAATATGTTTTATCTATCTATCTACTTGTATATCCATCTATCCTTCCATCCACCCACCCATCTATCCATCCACCCACCAATCCAACCAACCACCCAACCCACTACTTTCCTGACAAACCTACCTACCTAACTACATAACCTAACCTACCTACCTACATGCCTACCTACCTACCTGCCTGCCTGTCTGCCTGCCTCCCTGCCCACCTACCTACTTATCTACCTGCCTACCTTCCTACCTACCTACCACCCACCAATTTATTAAGGTACACATACACTTGATTATCCATATTCAGATGCCAATGGGAACTGAACTTAAAGTATCAACTCCTTTTGGCCGGAGGTCCCCATTTCAATTTGCCTTAAATACGTTTTTTTAAAAATATCAATAGACTTAGACAACAGTATATGTTATGTGTGAATTGATGGATAGAGGCCTAGCTTGTTAGCAATACACTTCATAATACGCATTGACATATCAGTGGATTTAAATTGATAATATATCCGGTCGATTTAGGACCGGGCTAGTCTTTTTCATAATAATTGAACGACTGCATTGAGATATGTAAAGAAAAAGGTAAAACAAGGTAGGTTAAAGCTTGAATTAGCACACAGGACAATAAGATGTGCACGTTTGGTTTTAGAGCCTTTTTCAGTGAACAGGACAAATAAAAGTACGACAAGAAACAGAGCACAGTAAAAAAAAAAAAAAAAAAAAAAAAAAAAAAAAAAAAAAAAAAAAAAAAAAAAAAAAAAAAAAAAAAAAAAAAAAAAAAAAAAAAAGTTAAAGCTTGAATTAGCACACAGGAAAATAAGATGTGCACGTTTGGTTTTAAAGCCTTTTTCAGTGAAAAGGAAAAAAAAAAGTACGAAAAGAAAAAGAGCAAAGTAAAAAAAAAAAAAAAAAAAGAAACTTTTGAGATCTCTTTTTTTGTTGCTGAAAGTGAGTTACAGGAAGTGAAAGAATATAAATATTTGTACTGTGAAAAATAAGGTCCATAATTTAAATCAAATTACTATAAAATGAATTTAAGACGCATATAAACACTATGGGTGCATTTATATATGGAGACATATATCCCAGACTCAATCATTTTAGAAATTGGAAAATAGAAGTTTAGATATTTGGTTTTACACTTTTTAAAATCAAATGTATAGGTTCATCGCAAAAGTGCGTATACTTTCCATGAGATTACAAATATTACCGACCTGAAGATGTATATATATATATATATATATATATATATATATATATATATATATATATATATATATATTGCTTTAATATATAGAAAATAAATATATTATATAGGCCTATTGTTGCGCACTGACTTGTATTGGGAGAAATTAATCTCCTATTTTAATTTTAATTGGCTCGTTGTAAACAGTGCCTAACATAGGACGATACCATTGAGTCAACAACTTTAAAGATAAGACAACCAAAACAGTTTCTAGTTACAATTAATTAAGATTTATTAAGTCTTAAGATAATTACAAAAGAAAAGAAAATATAATGACAATCTTCAACTTACTGTATGGTAGATCTTGTACCGGTACACAGTTAATACAGTTAGAATAATGTGCCAATGAATAATGCGAAATAAACACATATGCGCACACAAATAAACAAAGAATAAAACACGCCTCGCAAAGTTAATAAATCTATCTGAATCTCCGTCCCCCCGTCCGTGCCTGTCAATCCCTTATATAGGTCACGTAAGCCCTGCCTTCTAGAAAACTTATGACGTTTCTAGAACAATCATATTCATTCTACAAAACACTATTTGGAACAGATTAATTATTTTTAGTAGCTGGCGGCATAAACGCTAATTTATTTATTTATTTATTTAGGCATTTTTTATATAGTGCTTACCTTAAAGCTGTAAACGCTTTACAATTATTAAAAACATGTAAACTAAGTAAAATGAAAATGAGACACTAGGATAGTAACTACTATACTATACGAACAATTAAAATGGCTATAAAACGAGGACACTTTGACACGTTTTGGCCTATACTACAGGAACAGAAAATGAGGCAGGGCAAGGAGGGTGCATCACAGGTCATAAGCGGACCTAAACAGATGGGTTTTAAGGGACTTTTTAAAAGTGGACGAGGTTTCACAATGACGGATATGATCAAAGGACTAAGCCACACCCCTCTGTGAACACAGCGTCTCATGCGGGGTCAATCATAGGGCACGCACGAGAAAAATTATGTAAACAAGCTCTATATAACACCCATCTAAATATATATTTCTCAATTGTAGGAAAGAATTATTGTTTGTCTGATGATACATTAAATCAACACCCGACTAATTTACAAACTAAAAAAAAATTGTTTTAAAGATTGTGATTTAGTGTTGAATTTTTTGGCAATGTTTAAAATTAATAAAACAATAATACATGTTTAAGAAACACTTCAACATATACAGACGTTATTAACACCATAAGTCTTCCATTTATACAATTTAACTTCCTATCATTTCTTCTATAATAGTAATATGATACTTGACTGTTATGTTTTTCTTTGTTTTGTTTATTTTAAATTGTGACTAAGAATATAAAACGTGTCAATATATCCCATAATTTTTTTTCAATTTGTTTCTTCTTACAGTTTGCATACACTGTCAAAATATTAATCTTACATACACTGCAACAGAATGTGCTCATGGTTTTATTAAAGAAGGCGAAGACGTTAGTCTACAGACATTGATAAATAAAGATATTGACAACATTAGCAATGCACAAATGGTTTGGAAATCCGCAAACAGTTCTATTTTTAAACATGTATGTTTAAAAAATAATAAATTATATAATTTTCTTTGACTCTGATTTTCATTTTTGTGTCAGTCTATATGTCTGCTTTTATCCTTTTCTTTCCTTCAATTATTCTTTCCATAGGTCTGCATCTGTCTATGTCTATTACGCAAAAAAATTATCAAAGTATAAAATTACTTTTTAAAATTATTTTTAATATGCACATATATATGTATATATCATAATATATGTATCTAATGACACAAATCGTGTATACTTTAAGTTTGTTATATAAAAACAATATAGTTTCCTTAAGTGCTTCATACAATGCAACTATTTGTTTTCCTTATGGGTTTATTAACATTAAAATATTAGCCTTATTTGTATTTAAAATATAACAAACACATTTAACTGTTTTTTTATTTGTATTTTTCAGTTTAGAACATTTAATTTGACTAATTCGACTGAAGATTATGAAGTTCATCACACATTGAAAAATGCTAAAATCTTTTATCGCATCCCTGCAGACATGATTTACAGTGGTGCACATTTTGTAGCTAAAATTCTTCTTTCTGATTCAAGGGAATTTGAAAGTCAAATTCTAAATTTTCCTCACATATATAGTAAGTTACCTTTTTATAATATTTTTTTTTATAGAAATGTGTACATAAGGTCACTTACCTCATTTTCCATAAGCTGATTATTTAAAACGCCGGATGTCCGGTTAGCAACAATTATTTTAAAATACCCTACATTATGTGCTCGATATGGCATTGATTTTTGACATCAGTCAAATGTTCATAAACACTGTGGGGATAGTGGACCATTCAAATTTAATAAAACGTCATTTGTTTACAAATAAAAGTTAAGTACATTTTTTTTTAAAAACAAAACTAGGTAACGCAATTTTTCGATGGGATATTCTGTATTACAAAACTTTATATTGGAATCAGACATATGTGAGGGAAAATGTGCAGCAATCATAGAAAAACTATTTTTGTTACAAAATAGAAGCGTGGCAATTTTTTTTAAAATGTTAATTCTTTTTAGCTTTTCAAATTGATGAGGAAGTGGCCTCTATCTGAATTGGTATAAATCGAAACTCATTTTGTAATAGCAGTGCTCTACACTTCAATACAAGAAAGACTTTTACGATTAAATATGCCATTACATTATTTATTTTACGTAACACTTAAAATTTATTTTAATCTTAATCGCATTTTCCAAGTGTAATTTTTTAAAAAATATTTGACATATGGTTGTGCTGGAAAATCTTTGATTTTGGAGCGGTGATGTGAATCGTAAATTTGGCAACCAGTGAGTTATGAATTTATATATATATATTTAGTTGGAATAGTTTATTATATATATATATCTTTTAAAATTTAATTCAAGAAATTTATTCCATACGGATTTTTAAAAATTCCTCTTTTTTTTTAAATTCACCCTTACAGATGGTATCCCTGATACAATAAAGCTATTTATAAATGGAAATGAAACGATAATGAATGAAACAAATTGTGAAATAGCCTTAACTGGATGTGAAACAAACTTCTTGTCATCAGCGTGCGATATCAACATCCTTTTTGTGTGTGAGAGTCAGCATGCTCCATGTTTGATAGAGCTTTATACCGACAAATCGTATAAGGTTGTGAAAAGAAAAAACTATGCGGAGTATCACTTACACTACATAGAGTCAGAGAACATCATTCTCTACATGAATTATGATCTCTGTACATTTTCAGACAGGTATAAAAAAAAGCAGTGTAAAATAAAAACAGGTAATAAAATATATAATAATAATAATAATAGGTCTTATATAGCGCGGTACCCCAGCCTAGGGCTGGGCTCACCGCGCTGTACATAATCATGATATTAAAATAAAAAACATTTATGAAATAAAGAACAGCAATGTATATTCACCCACCCCACCACATAACTTTTAAAAGGCAAACCATGGACGGCTGCCAGCATGATCATTTATCGGTCAGAGGAGGGGAATCAGTCAGGGTAGTTTAATTTAAAAAGATATGTTTTGAGTGCAGCTTTGAAGGCCTGGGTGGTTGGTATATTGTGTATGTGTAGTGGCAAAGAATTCCATTGTTTGGGGGGCGCATAAAGAGAAAGATCGTTCACCATATGTTTTAGTATGTGTCTTGGGAACGGACAGAATACGCGTGACTGCAGAGGAGGGAAGCTGTCGAAGGGGTCAATAGACAGAAAGAATATAGTAGTCATTGAATTATAGGGTCGTTATATTATAAATGTGTGTAACTCAATTTTAGTATTAATCATCAAATGTCATTTTGAAAAAATAACCTTTATACATTCGTACGAACATTGTTGGAATGTATCAAATTAACATACCATCTTTGAAATCTCAAAAAAGTAATAAGTTAAACTTCATAGATTGTTGTTTTTTTTTTGGTATGTTTTTTCATTTGTATACAACCATGCTAAACCATGTTACACAATTTATGGTTATGTATTAATATTATCAATCGAAAAAGACTTTTACTTTCTTAAAATATGTATGTGTATTGTATTTTTCTAAATATTAATCATGAACATATTGAAATTTAAGGAGCTAATAAGTTTAAATCTTTAAATTGTTAAAGAGAAAGAAACACTGAATACAGGAAAGTTGACGTAAAACAAAACAAAGTGGCGATTCGTATTATGTCTGTGGTCGACTGTTTCCTTTTCCATTTGCTTTTGGAAGCAAATTTAACGATCAAAACAAAAGAATGTGATCTACAAAACTTTTAATTGCGTTATTTATCTTTAATAAGATATTACTATTCATATACTTTCAAGAAAATTAATAAATTTTAAAAACAAATCTTATTTCATTTGTTTGTAATCAAAGGACAAGTAAAAAAAAAACAACAACACAAAAAGTAGGCCACAGTAAGAAAGTTTTGTTAAATTCTCATTGTAAAAGTTAAAACTTCCATGCTGGATATGTATTGCTATTAAAGTGAAGTGGGTAGATTAAATCAACATTATTATTTGATTTTCTTTTTTCCCAGAAAAAAGCAACTTTTCACATGACGATCCTCCCGACTGGCAAACTCCTTGTATAGCAATGGTTGTTTGTAATATAGTAGTAATTGTTTTGGAATTTATTCTTTGGTAAGTTTATCTTTGACCAAATCTTTGGTGTAGCCATGGGCACAAAAAAGGGTCCAAGCTATGCTTGCATATTCATGGGTCATTTTGAATATATGGTAGAGAGGGCATATATTGGCCGTATTCCTGAATTTTATAGGACATACATGGATGACGGCAGAGGTATTACCAGCATGGAAAGTAATAATCTCCAAAAATTTATGGATTTTTAAAACTCATTTCATCTATCCATGAAATTTACTTCTCAAATATCTGGACATTCTGTCAAATTTCTTGATTTCATCATAACATTGAAAGAAATGAATCACATCTGCCTACTACAAACCAACTGAAAGCCATTTACATTTTGTACACATCCTCCCACCCCAAATCATGCAAAGAATCAATAACGTTCTCACAACTTCTTAGACTATGGCGTCTCTGCCAACTCGATGAAGAATTTTTGGAAAGATCAGATAAAATGATTGATTTCTTCAGCTCCAGACCCTTTCCTGAAACTACTCTTGTCTCAGCATAAGCCGCATAAGCGCTTAAACACGAAAAGATGCTTTCAAACCCCGTCAAAAATCAATGAAGATCGTACCAAACTTATGCTAACCTATCACCCTCTTAATTTAACAGTCAAAAAATATATTTCTAAATTATGTAGTATACTTCTTGCTGACCACGATACTAACAGGGTATTCTCATCCTCTCCACTGATTGCTTTAATACGAGACAAACATCTAGGTGACCTTCTGGTTCAAACTATCCTTCGATCTGACCCTTGTTATTTTAATACTAAAACATGCTGTAGGGCTTTTCACTTTACACTCCAAACTGAAAGCATTTGCCTTCCTAAAGGTACCTTTAATATCAAAGAGGGTTTCACTTGCGTCAGCCGTAATGTAATATGTGCGATTGTGTGCCATAGATGCCACTCTAGATACTTAGGTGAAACTGGGAGAAGATTGGCTGATAGCTTTACTGAACATCTCCGAAATATTGAACAAGGTAAACTTTCCCAAGTCTCTACATTTGAACAGAGATGAACGTAATGATGCATTAGATGTAACCATTGTGGCACTGATTTCATACAGTATCACACCAAAGAGGGTTAAAATGGAAAATAAATTTGTTCAGCTGTTTGGCATCATATTTCCACATGGTATTAACCAAATATTATCCTACTAATGTTTCTTTGTTTCCCTATATTTTAACTATTTTCTTATAGCTATGTATTAATGTATCCATGGATATTTTAGGCCTTTATTATTTTGGACCTTTTTTTCACAATGTCAATATTAATATTCTCTAACTTCCTATCATCCTACTTCCGACAACAGCATTGAATATTTCTTGGATTGTTTACTGTGCTCTGTTCATTTGGGATATTTCCATTTGTCCCATGCAGTGAAGAAGGCTCCATGCCGAAACGTTCAAATCGTGTCGTTCTGTCCGTTCTGTCAAGCTTCAACAAAGTCTGATTTGCTATTAAGTTTAACTTAATAGGAAAGTTTATTTCAGGAACATATATATATAGACATTTTTTTTTAAACTAGATATTTTAGTGTAGCAATACCACCCATAGATAATTTAAACAAAAAATTAAACTCTAAACAAATCCGTAACAAGTTTTTTTACAGAGTACAGATAATTTGAACTAAGCATATTACTTAATAACATTGATTTGTTTAACCTTAAATTAATATGTTTAAACATACACATATTTAAATATATATATACATATATATATATGTTTGTATATCATTCTTTTAAAGCTTTGTGTTCAAGCGGGTAAAAAGGACACATATCTGCCAGGTAAACTTTACGTCATTTAAAAAATAAATATAACAATGTTGCATATATGTAAATCTATTCTAAAAATAACAGTCAGTTTATTATTATTAGTTCATTATTTTAGTTCATTACATTCACTTTTTTTTTGTTAAAAAAAAGGAATTTGCAATCAATATAAATTCAAAAAATGAAATGAGTGTCACATACACCAGAAATGTGTCTCAAGATCACTTTTGTTTGTTTTGTATTTAGTTCTTTGACTGTGCTTTCTCTCTTAGCGTTACTACTTGACAATTTCCTTTAAGCAATTTAGAGTACGTTATCACACAAATCAAGAGAAAAGTCTGTTGTTTTTTTTTAAATGACATTCTATATCCGCTTTTTAGTACATTTATTGATGTATACCAATTCAAGTCTTTAAAAAAACAAGATTAGACGCATGTTAGTATAGTATACTGATTCAGTTTTTAAATTTGTTTTTAAAGATTAAATATTATTGAGGAAGATGAAAAAATAGCTATTCTTATTTTATTATCACTCCCAAAAACAAACAACACGCTTTAAATTACTTTCAAAATATTGATTTTCTATTATATATTTAAGTATCTCAAATTTATTAAGAACTAGCCGGTATGTCCGGCGTGGCCTGGGATTGTATTAGGACCTTGTTCTGGTGGAATCCCAATTGGGACCCCAAACCCTTTCTGACGCCGATCCCAGCGCGGTCTCATTTCCCGGTGTGATCCCTATCCCGGTGGAGATATTCAAGTTTGAGATCCCGTTTTCTGGTGGGATCCTGATCACATTGGGATAAGGATTATGATGAGATCTTGACCCTTTCTTTTCTATCCAAAATATTAAAAAAAATTACTAAGTGGTATTAAGAGATCATTAACTAAGGGACTGTATAGATAGGAAAATTGGATATTATTAGTTTTAAATGTCCCAACATTTCAATACGAACAATAACGTCTATTGCTACCATGCTACGCCTATATCCATCAACTCACATATAGCCTATAGTGTTGTAAATCCTGTTGATATTTATATAGCTTATATTAGAAACGATGAAACGGGGCTTCGGCTCCAGAAGAATGGATACAATGAGTTCAGTACCCTTATTATTTATTTATTTTTTATTTTAAGTTAATCAAGGGGCCCTGGAAAGGGGGGGGGGGCATTCCATAACTGTACAGATTTAGTTATGCCAGAGATAAGGGGCTCTATAAATATCATTGTCCAGTTAACAAAAGTTCTTGTATTCCCCCCCCCCACGTAGGGTTGCATGTAAATGTAATTTAAAAAATTTGGATGGCAGGGGCCTGGAAAGGGGGGGGGGCATTCCATAAATGTACAGATTTAGTTATGCCAGAGATAAGGGGCTCTATAAATATCATTGTCCAGTTAACAAAAGTTCTTGTATTCCCCCCCCCCCACGTAGGGTTGCATGTAAATGTAATTTAAAAAATCTGGATGGCCATATGCGCGAACATATGTCATTGCATCTTGTGCATATTCATGCATGTGACGTGGACTTCAAGGTAATTTCGAGGGTAGTATAGTCATTTTCCCCAATTCATTTTGATTCAAATTGCCATCATTTACAATTTCATCACATAAATGAATGTACCCTTCGGAACGTAAATTGCTTTGATTTAATCTAATGCAGAGGAGTCGTTCGGTTTCGATTTTTGTATACATATCAACAATGTATTGATGGAATAATTGTTGACATTTCAAGATATGATTTTCGGTACTCACACGGATCATCAATCGATATGAATAGCATTTCATGGCGTTGACTTTCTTATTCGATTCCTCATCTGTCTGTGGATTTCTCAATTTGATGTTAAAATGATATCCATCTTCTTCTTTGAAAAATAAAATAGGATATTGCAATCAATTAAATGAGCGATTAATTTCTGAGACTCGCTGAACATCACCAGTTCTGCGATGAAGATTTATGTCAAGTGAGTTAAATTCTTCGTTAACTATAACGATCGCCACTTCATCAATTGATTGTGCATTGTATTGTCTTTCGTGTTGGCCGACAGGTGTTTTGTCTGCTCTAACTATGACTTTGTAGTCATCAGTCGGCATCTTTCCAATTGCAATTCTAAACATTTGAATTAATTCGTTGTGTTGCGAAAAGACGTTTGCAATGCAGCTACGATTTCTCGTTTAGTGCCTGTATTGATATGACAACGTTGATCGATTTGTTCATCAGTACTCCCCATGAAATAAATTTGAAGAAATTTGTGATCTTTCTTTGGCATTTGCATCAGAGACCCAGCAAGATGATTAATTTGGCCTTGCACTTTAAATGTTGGTAAGCAATTCTCGCACACCATATTTGTTGCACCCAAAGATGTCATTTGGAAACATGAATTGTACTTGCGTATGTTTGCCAAGAAATGTTTCGATTGTCTTGTGTCACCTAATACCAACGTTGATAATGGTTTCGGTGGTGAATGTAATTCTGGCCATTTCACTTTCCCACCCGCGTAGCAAATTCCGATGTTTCATTCTTAAATTTCAGGGCACTACAAAACACGCATAATTGCTCCATTTTTCCAATGACCACACTTGGATGAAGACTGTAATCATACTTAGCATCGTAATGGAATGCACTAAGATTTCATTCAGCGTTCACTGTAATGTCTGGATCGACAAGTGCGTACTCTATCGGAATTCAGTCCTGCTTCTGAATAGCTCTGTTTGAAATTATAGTTATAAAGCTCTTAACAAAAAAAAAAAAAGAAATTAGGGTCATTGGCCCAAACGGAATATTGTAAAAAATTGTTGCTATTTAGAAACATTTGCGATAGTGCGCATTTCAATTGTTTACGTTTTTTCATAATTGGATGAATGGTTTAGAAATTCATACGATAATTATATAGATACAAAAAAGGGTGTAAAACGAATTTAGAGCCCCCGGCCACAAACGGAATATTGCAGAATTGTTGTACTACTTCAGAAACCTACTTAATATGTCAGACACACAATTGAATGTCACTATTTGTAATTTATTAAAAAGCTATCAATCCATGCATTTGCTCTGTTTGAAATTATAACTGTAAAGCTTATATAGAAGAAACGAACATAGGACACCTGGCAAAAAACGGAGTATTTTAAAATGGTTGTAATAATTTTAAACATCTTTCCGAGCGTATTCAAAACATCCCAAAACTGAATATTTTAAAACGGATGTAATAATTTAGAAACCTTTATGGATATGCTCGCAACATCTTACCATAGTTTTATCGGAATCGGATAAATGGCGTAAGAGCGCATATGGAAATTATTTTGTGCATAGCTCATATAAGAAAAAAAAACAAATTTAGGGACATCGACTGAAAACGGAACATTGTATTAGGGTTGTAACGTTCCAGGTTTCCGGTTGACAAATCTGTTGTGGCTTGCCGATTAGGAAGCGTCGGCCACCGACCCCCTCGGCGTGTGCCGGGAAACACAACTACTGGGCACGCCCCGCGTGGGCAGACAAAGGGTGTGCTCGGTACCTGCCGTACATAAAACAGCTCCCACAGGGCTGCCGGTTGCGATATTTCGCAGTCGGAAAGTTAGGCAGAGCCAGGGTAGGGATCATGATTACAAGTTGCCGTTGACGGGTATGAGGCCAGAGGCGCGGGTGGTAACCTCGGGCCGAGGATTCAAATAATGCAGCGGTGAGAACGCTGTCCCTAGGCAACCGTTTCGTCCCAGCTAGAGCGTGAACTAGTCACGTTGTGGAAACCCACTGTGGAATCCCTCTTATAGGGCGTCCGACGCTTTCCCGGGATGGGTGGGGGAAGATGTTAGGACGTAAATTTTCCATCCCAACTCCTGAGAAAGTCGATCGAGTGCACTATTTAAACGCATAGTGTCGGATCGACCGGGTGCCTCTTGGTTGGGGCGGCCCCCAGGCGGGATCCTGGTTGAGCGCCCAGGTGCCCAGGCGGGGGACTTGGGTGAGGGGCCCACGTGGGGGCCGTCCTGACCAATGGGCATCTCCAACGTGCCGCTCCGCGGCCCGATACGACCGGGGAGGGGTAATTTGGGGGGGGGGAAGGCATAAGAGTCTAGACTCGCCCCGCTGACGCCATTTCTTAATGTAACATTAGGGTTGTAATGATTCAGTTGAATGGCCGGTTATGTGGACAAAAACTCACCAAAGTTTTGTCGCAATCGAATGAATGGCGTAGGAGTGCTTACGAGACATACAAAGATACATACATACAGATATTCATTTATACATTTATATATATATATATATATATATGTATATATATATATAATATATATATATATATATATATATATATATATATATATATATATATATATATATATATATATATATATATATATATATATATATATATATATATATATATATATATGTATATATGTATATATATATATGTGTGTATATATATATATATATGATTGTATTTACGCTCTGAGCATTTACTTCGAATTAATATTGCATATGCAATATTTAAAACGTACGCAGTAATACCAATATAGGTTTACATAGCTACGCTAATAACCCTTGTAATTAACACGTTTAATTGTTAAGAGTATAATGGATGAGAAACATAAATCAAACGATATTTAGGAAAATAACTCGTTCAAATTGAGAACTGCCTGTAAAATGTAAATACTAATTTTATGTTTTCTTAGCAACTGATGCATTTTTAAAACAAAAATACTTTTTGCACTTTACAGTCACAAGACTATTATGTAAATAGTTGTAATTTAGGTAAATAAATGTATGTGGATTATGAAGGCCTTTGAATACGTTAGTATTGAAGATGGTGAATAAACAAAAATTCGCAACATGAACTTTATCAATCTATCCTCTTGTAATGCTCAAGCTGTTCTATTTCCAACTTTAATTAGCCTTCTGATTCATGCGTTCAATCTTTTGTCAAGATCTTACCATTTATGCAATTTTAGTTTATTCCTTTAGAGCCCGAAATCTGTAACATCTTAGGTTTTCACATAGTAATGGTGTTAATTTTCATTTTTTTTTTCATTTTTTAAATGACACATGGGTTTCTTGCATATTTGTCTCTCAGACGTATTCAACTGGCACTTTCCGCTGGAGTTTTAGTTTTCCGTGTTCACATTATCGCTTGCTTGACACAAATCCCACCTTAGCTGCAACCAATGCGCAATCTATTATTTCAATCTCCCCATTAGTTGTTTATACAATAAATATATATAGCACTAGTGGATTTTAACAATGTTTTTCATAAAATAACGGCACTCAACAAAACGCATTCATGCGTTTTGTTCAATATTTACATTATATAAATGATTGTATTATTGACCTAGTGACAGATGGCATAAGTTTTGATTAAATCGTTAAGCAAAAATAAATGAATTATATAAATGTTAATTTCTTTCTTTCGTTAATACGTCATTACGTTGATCGTCATTTTTAAAAATGAAATCTTCCCTACTTCAGGAAATTTGTGGATGTGGATTCAAATGCTGCCGTCAAAAACAGGTATGAACATTGAAAGAATATTTTATAAACAAAGGTAAATAGTATTTTATTAAACCTGAAAAACGTAAAGAAAAAACAAACGATGTTACGTTTCAGAAAAGAGCTTTCGTAAGCGAAAAATAAAGTTTACATAAAGAATGGAAAAAAATTGAAGTGATAAACGTATCAAATGTATGTTCAAGAGCACTGTAACGTAATTTAGAAAAATCCGAATGTCAAAAACAATAAATCTTGCAAAATTAAAATCAAAATGGAAATATGTTACAATGTGTTTGAATTGTATATATTCAATCTAATCCCTGTCCCCCATCTCATCATTATTACTGTGTGTCTTATATAGCATAAAAACGTTGCGAACAGACCATTTAATTTATCTTTCAATTATAACTATATTTTTCTATCAGAATAGACTAAATTAGCTAATGACCTAAAGCATATTTTAATAACGAATTATAAATTAATTCAAACTATATTTATTTTTGCATTTTTCTGGTAATTATTGTTCTTTTAATTTAGCAGTATGCATTTTTTGAATATTTGAACAACTTTAAAAGCTTTCTGAACTATGTCATTGCTTTGACCATTTAAACAATAAATACTTTTAACCGTGGCATTCGTCAACAATCGAAACTTAACATTTTGGAATCAGAATATAAAAAAAACACACAAAAAAAACAACAACTCAGACAAAGCAAAATTTTATTTATTTTTCTTTAAAGTTTCAGAGTGTTAGTACATCTCAACCAGTGGAAGATCGGCTGCGAGATGCAACAACAACCTGCTGACAGAACTGGCAAAACAATAATATGCTAATAACACTCCCATTGAAAAGCAAACTACAGATAACACTACGATGGAACTGTTACAACATGCATAAAACAACACTCTGGTGTAAACCTTAATATGCCGATACAACTTTGATGAAACAAGAGCATACCAATAAAATTTCGATAAATAAACAAAAAAAACACCAAACAAATCCGAAAATTCTCGTGTAACAACATGTCGTTTGTTTGCCCTCTTTTTCAAACAATAATGTACCACGACAATATGATGGAATAATAAAAACTATGATATTATTATAAAAATTAAAACAAACATTATTCCGATCCGATGTCGCCATTTGTCAAAGGTAAGAAAAGCATAAGGGTTGATTTTTTTTTTTTAAACAAGGAGATTAATTAACAAGTATGTCTGTCAAGCAAATCTTTTTTTTTAAATGTTGACTACATAAGAGCTTTTATTAGGCCGTGTTGAATATCATATTGATTTTAATTATTTTATTGCATGTGGAAATTCAACATTACATCAAATATATATTAAGCAAATTATTTTGATCCATTTTCTATTGTTATATATTATATAACGCTAACGACATGAATTTACCTTAAAAAAACTGTACTTAATGACAATCAAGTAGTGCTACTTGAATTAAAATGCATTATAGATCAAAGGTGTTTGCACAATAACCTCACTTCTCACATCAAATCGCATACACTAACAATATCACACAACTCCTAACTTCTTGCTCAACTTATAATCTCCCCTACAACGCATGATGTCTCACATAACTAAATTCTATTTCACAAATCATATTCTCTCCCACAGTCCACCTTCTTTCCAACTCAAGACCACTACCAAAAGTCGAGCATATTTCACTTTTTCAAATCTCTCCCACAAATCCACTAATTTTTAACTTTCATTTTCTAAGTAGACAGGAAATGTATAATATGTACAATTTAATTTACATAGTTTGTGTTAGTTATTACGCTCTAATGTTTATTTCGTCCACAAAAAATTAAAGCTTCAATTATTTTATTATATTGTTTTACAAGTCGTTTATGTCTCATTTATTATTAGTTTAGTTTATTGTATGTCAATAATACCAAATAAAGTTTTATACACTTTATAAATTGAAGTTAAATTTATTTAATTTAAACTGCATTGTTTTACTTGTAGGAAGTCGATTAAACCTTGGATATTCCCCATGCAAAATTGAATTCAGGTATATTCCAAAGTGCATTATCAAAGAAAATTAAGAGCAAAAGTTGTTCAGCTATACTCTAATTCCTCTAGACTGACTTTAGAGGATGTCCTTAATTTCTGATACCCCATACCATTTTCGTCTATCAAATAGTCCTTGCTGGATAATTTGTATCTACAACAGAAATAATAATAATACTAATAAAGATTATTTAAAAATCACGTTTCATCTACAAAAGCTCGAAGCGTGGTACATACCACATTGAAGTACAAAATTCAACATTACAAAACTACATACAAGAAAATCCATTCTAAGTCTTTCAAACCTTGCAACCATAAACAATGATGCACTCTATATTAAAAAAAATAAACCTTTATATTTATTTTTAAAACAAGGCTGCGTAATTATAATTGTCGTGGCACCAGTGAATGTATATTATAAAAAATAATTAAGTAAATAATTAGAATATTGCTCATCTGGGTAATACTTTTCGTTATTGATATTAAATTAAATTGCATGCAGACGTCAAATAATTGAATCTCTGACTAATTTCATTAGGGGAAAAAACCTATGGTTGACAGAACAGTAAGTATTTGAAAATGATGGTAAACATTTTAAAGTTTTATGACAAAGTTTTAATTATCTTCAATTTTACCACAAAAAAAAATATAACTTTAAATTATACATTTAAAACACAAAATATTTAACTATATACAAAATCTGAGATATCATGCTCATTAAAAATTAAAACAATGAAGTGGCTATTAGGACACGGGTCCGAAAAGTGAGAGGTTGGGAGTAAAATAAAAAAAATATATTGTTAAGTGGCAATACAATAGTTTGCATCAAATGAAAAATAATTGAATGGACTATAAGTTTGTAAACTTACTTTTTTAGTTAAACTATAAAAAAAAACTGCCACAAATGGCATCTGAATAGCATTGAATCTAAAGGGACAGGGTCTGAATAGCGGCCCTGCGTTTCCGGGTCCATTTTGACTAAGTGCTATTGGGATTTCATTTGTTTTAGTTTATTTTAGTTTTGTCCCTACTATAATATGGGTGGGCGAGGCCAGAACCCGCTTCTCCTCCCTTTTCAAGTCCTTTTCCCATATTATAGAAGTTTAAAGGTGTGATTTTTAATCATGTTTTGTCATTTTGGGAAATATTTTGAAATGTTTTGACCAAATATGGTGAACAAAATGATTTTTAGAGGGTGCAATGTTCTAAATTGGAGCACATCCTGTTGTAATGATATTGGATTTTCCCGTTATGACTTGTGAGCGTCAGCTATACGTGAGTTAGTGAGTTAATGTAATTTAAATTGAAATCTGAAGTAAATAGAAAACAATATAATAAAATAATACATTCAATAGAATAACATATTGGAATATGGATAATGTCACAATAATGTGTCTAGATTAATTCCATTTTGAAAAAAACATTTCTTAAATCCGTTCTTCCTTGATTCAACTCTTGCTAAACCAGACAGTTAAACTCTGGATAACAGTTGGCGTTGGCTGAAATGTAAGTGCCATTTATTTGCATTTTTGACAATGACTTCAATGAGCTATTCAGTATAATGTAGTTTATTTTCTAATAATTTGGATGTTTCACAATTTTGGTACCTTATACATATTTTAACCCTTAAGACTGAAAGGGTAACAAGACACAAGCGACGGCTCTGCCTTTACATTAGTTACTATTATCAGTGACTATTATCATTACAATTATTCTAGTGACCCTGAATAATATCTACTTTTTCTAGTTCTGTTGCTGACCAAATCAGGAAAACTAAGTAAGGTGCTTGTATATAATATATATTATATAAGAATGAGCTAAGTTGACCATAATAATGATAAGAAAACGAATCAATTTAAATACTTTTGAAGGCTTAAAAAAAAATTAAAGGGGTTTTTCTGTTGTTTTTTTTAAAGGAAATATTTATGTAAATATTTAATTAGTATTCTATTACAGTAATATTTTAATGCATTAATAAGGTCATATTTTAAATCTCTTATGCAGGAAAAATTTTTAAAAAAAATTGTTTAATTGATGTAATACATGACTTTATAGTAATAATAATATATACATTAAAAAATTGAAATAAACTTTAAAAAAAAGAGATCTATTTTATTTTTATCTATTCCATTTATTTTAATAAAAATAAAATATATCTGCTTATTTTAATTTTTTTTTTCAATTTTTGAATGTAAGTATTATTTATAAATTCATTTATTATACTAATTAAACAAATATTTTTAGAATTGTACCTACATAAGTATAAGAGAGTTAAAATTTGATCTTTATGTATGCATTGAAATAATACTGTTATTAACTCGTTATAACATTTATTGGGCTTTGCAATCCTTGTGGGGGCTGTGATTAAGTTTTTTTTAGTATATTTGATATTAATACGATTTCTTGGGTAGGTTCGAGGTATGCAAATGTATATTTTTTCAAGAAGCATACAGTGAGCCACAGAAATGGAGGGGGCATACGAAGAGTATATCAGTAACTCAAAAGATAAAAAATTCACAAACTGTAGGCCTACGTCAGATGTTACAGTCATGAACAATATTGTTTTCATTTTTTTTTTCCGAAATAACAGAAATATGTTTTACAGTTATGTCGGAAAATGCCGTCCCAATGTGTTGATATAATCAGGGCACATTTACATACCGTAATTATAACTATGAATAAAAGATTTTAAAAATGTAAAAGGGGAAAATTATAGCTAAGATTTTTCTTTGAAACTAATGAAATAATATTTTTCAAATTTACAGCCGGGATAATGATGTAGCACAAAATTATAAGTGTAACTAAATCTGGAGAGATTTTTCGTTTGATAACATTATCTAAAAATCACAAAAATGTATTGACATGCAAATGAAATATATAATTGCCACCATAATACAGTTCAGGAGTGTGAACAAATATAGATACACTATATGGACATGTTAAATTTATGTGAGATTAAAAGTAATTAACATCAATATTGTTAGTGTGTGTCAAATTTTTTAACTCTAGATAACGGAGCCAGAAGCTGTAGTGAAGTGTCGAGAAAGAGAATTACAAAAGCCAACAGTTTAACAACCACCTTGCACTATTTTGCATGATATTCTTTTGCATCTGGAAAATTTGGAAAACCGTGTTGCCCATCATTTGTACCCAAAGTGTGTAATCATCATGGAAATACTTGATATCATTTTAATGATATTATTACTCTTACATTTTAGCCTGGGTAAGTTAAATTTATTATTTTACTATCTGAATTTTATTATTTTACTTTTACAACTTTATGAGACATAAATTGATTCCGAGAAGTATAACGTCAATTGCAAAGGTATGAGGTAATTTTTATAGAAGAGCAAATTTTAATCTTAAGTTTTTGAACTCGACAATCACACAAAATTTACTTTTTGGAGCTAGACATGAAGTGAAAAGATAAACATGAATTAGAAAAAAAAAAGCTAAATTGATTAATTCAAAATAATATTTTATTCACTTTATTTTAATTAATATCAATCATTTACTCAATGATGTTTTTTTTTTTTTTTAAATTATCTTTTCACATAGTTTCAGGACAAAGTGTGGAACTCTTTGAGAACAGTCAAAAAGACTGTGAGACACAGTGTGTTAAAGGTCTTGTCAGTGGATCTGACACAGTAAATTTTACAGCTCAAGTTCAGTATTCAGATGATCCAAATATGAATATTCTGTTTTTCGTCAAGAGAAATTATGATAGAATGTACCAGCTTGTAAGTTCTTATTAAACGTATGCGTTGTTCATTGTTTTAGATGAACTTTTGTGATTATACACCTAAAGTATTAAAACATCATTCACTATAAATAGTTAATTTATTTTTAATTTCAAAAAAAATATTTGAATATATAAAAATATATATACCATAAGCTCATAACAGCATATATTTATTTTATGGATTTTGAATCATTTGAAATCATAAAAAATATATGCTTTTATGGAAGTATAACTGATGTTTAACTTTAATATGTAAATTTTTTTATTCTAAAAAAATTAATATTTTATATGAAAATATATATTGTAAGTATTTAAGAGCAAATATATTGTTTACTGATATTCTTAACTATCGTGTATGCATAGCGTTTATTAATGGAAAAGAAAATTGAAATGTTATTTTTAAAATCCTATTCTGTTTATTTTACAATATTATATTTGTTTAATTTTTTAACAACGAGAAAAAATCAATATAATTTTATGTGTGTGAGAGGGCGTGAAAAATTGAATGTTTTTCTTTGTGTGTTCCATTTTTAAAAAAAACAGCATTATATTCTTAACTATCGTGTATGCATAGCGTTTATTAATGGAAAAGAAAATTGAAATGTTATTTTTAAAATCCTATTCTGTTTATTTTACAATATTATATTTGTTTAATTTTTTAACAACGAGAAAAAATCAATATAATTTTATGTGTGTGAGAGGGCGTGAAAAATTGAATGTTTTTCTTTGTGTGTTCCATTTTTAAAAAAAAACAGCATTATAGGCTATATACTCGTATTAACTCTTCATAGTAATATCTCCAAAATAAAAGCAAGCATGACATGTNTATATATATATATATATATATATATATATATATATATATATATATATATATATATTTATTTATATATATATACATGTGTGTGTGTGTATGTGTGGGTGTGTGCATGTGCGTGCGGGTGCGCGTGTGAGCGCGCGCGCACTACCTCAAACGCCAGATACATCGTCTGAAGATAACAATTTTCTCAGTAGCAGTAGTTTGAGACATGACATTATGCCCTCAAATAGTATGGAATGTAAATCACATAGGTCTCGCACACCTTTGATAGTTGTAGACTGTAAGAATCCCCTGACAGTGACATAAATACTTCCGATATGAAATGCTTAAAATTTTAAATGGTATTTGTAGTTTCTGAAACAGAAATTTGACCATGGGTGGAAAACAGTTTTTGGAGACTTGAGAATAGCTGGTTTGGGTAGAGGAAGTCAAGACCTGGGGAGAGTCATATAAACTTGCACTCAAGTTTTTGAGCAACAGGATATTTGTGGCAATTTCAAAATACTTGCAGTCGTGGCAGGAAATATACTGGAAAATGTCAAACTAGACTTACTTTTGGAAAAGTGATGCGAGAATGTGAATTCGTTAACTGTTGACTTATACGAATCAACCTCTTGCGGAATTCTTCGGGGACATAATTATAAGCCTTAAGAACAAATGATTTTACAAATCCATAATACCCAAAAGTACAATAGTAGTAGAAAACAGTCATCCGCTGCCCGATCACTCAAAGCTGGCTGCAATATGATAGACCAAAGATTTACTATTGTTTAAGGTTTCGTGCAGTTTTTTATATGTTCAAAATACTGATAACTCTTTTTTTGTAATCTGCAACATTAGAAAGTAACGTGGCAAATACATTATAACCATGACTGGTGCTCGCCTTATTTTTTTTTATAAATTGCATTTTGGTTACTTATGATTTCAATTTCCTTTCATTTGAAATGTTCACCGAATTATTAATTTTTTTTTAGATAACAATATTTAATACACGCATAGGCTTAATACTCTTTATATGTATGCGCAAAATATTTAAAATATTCTTCTTCTTTCTTCTTCTTCTTTATTTTAAGGGCCCACGATCAATGAATTGATCATTCTGGCTCCTATGTTTCAGAGGTGTTCGCGATGTTACTGTGCATGGGTTTCAATGGGATACTTCACTGGTTGCAAGGGCGACTCAGCAGTGGTGTTATGAACTGGGGGTTGGAATACAGGAGGCAATAGACACAAATGTCTCGAGTGTAGCCGCCTCAACTGTTGCTTTTGGAAGCTTGTTCCAGTTTCCTATTATCTTCGGCAGGAATGAGGAGCTCCTGTACTTTGTTCTTATTTTTACCAGCCGGAACTGTCTGTCGTGGCTTCGTCGCAGTCTAGGGGGAAGATGAACGAGTTTCTGTTTGATTCAGGAGCAGTGGACCAGCCCATTTTTTATCTTATACAACATGGTAAGCCTGGATAGTCGCCGTCGTTCTTCCAATGTAGACCAGCCCAGTGTTTTTAGCATGCTGCCAACACTAGAGGTTTTTCTGTAGCGGTTCATGACAAAGCGTGTGGCCCGTCGCTGGACCGCCTCCAACCTGTCGATGCTTTTCTGGGTAAATGGGTCCCAGACTGTAGAAGCGTACTCTAAAATAGGTCGGACAAAGGCTTTATAGGCTTTTTCTTTCACGCTTGAGTTTCCGATCTTCAGATTGCACCTTAGGAACTCCAGGGTCTTGTTTGCCCGGTTGCACACACTGTTAATGTGCTCGTCCCAGCAGACCTCTCTTTGAATGGTAACACCCAAGTACTTTACGGAGGAAACTGGCTCAAGAATATGGCCATGCAGTTCGTAAAAGTGGTTTAGAGGGAATCTGCTTCTGGAGACTGACAGGGTCTGGCACTTGACGGGATGAAATTCAATGTCCCAGCTCATCTCCCACTCAGCTAACCGATTGAGGTCTTGTTGAAGCTGGCTCTGGTCAGAGCTGTTTACGATTGTCCCATATACCGCCGTGTCGTCTGCGAACAGTCTTGCTTGGGAGGTCAGCTTCTCGGGCAGATCATTGATATATGCTAGGAACAAACAAGGGCCTAGCACTGAGCACTGGGGGACCCCTGACTTAACACTGACAAAGGAGGAGGTTTTGCCATCTACCGCTACTGCCTGTCATCGGTCGCTGAGGAAGCTAGAGATCCATGTTTCGGTAGTGCCTTGGATCCCAAATCTCTGAAGTTTGTGTAATAGCAAGCTATGGTTGTCACGGTCAAACGCTTTGGAAAAGTCCAGCACAAGCACATCAGTCTGCTTGCTGTTCTCCAAGCTGGTCGTCAATTTTTCAGCAAAATCAAGGAGTTGGGTCTGGCATGATCTGTTGACTCGAAAGTCATGCTGACAGTCATTGAGTATATTGTGTCTTTGCATGTGATTCATGACCGCGCTTACGATTATGTGTTCCAAACGTTTACATACTACGCTCGTGAGGGATACAGGGCGGTAATTGGCTGGGTCGTAATGCTCTCATTTTTTGTAGATTGGAGTGACATACGCTGTTCTCCAGTCAGTTGGAACGTTGCCTGTGAATAGCGACGATCGGAAGAGGATTGTTAATGCAGGAGCGATTTCATTGGCCAATTATTTTAGCACTCGTGGTTTGATGTTGTCAGGACCACATGCCTTGTAGGGGTTAATGTTTTTAAGGAGTTCCAGCACACCCTTATCTGAAATCTGGATATCTTCCATGGTGGAGTAGGCTGTGCTCAACATGTTGGTCTTCAGAAGGAACTCAACTTCTGAGTACTCTCTACCATCCCCAAAGACTGACTGGAACTGTTGATTGAGTATGTCCGCCTGTTCTTTGGGTTCAGACGTTAACTTGCCTTCCCATCTCAGGGGAGAAATCCCGATTTTTGTTGACCTTTGATGCTTGACATAGCTCCAGAACCACTTGTTCTTGGCTGTTGTATCTTCCTCTGAGAAGATGCCGTTCAGGTTGTTCCAGTAGGATCTGCGCAGTAAGCGTTGGATGGTTCTTCGGAGCCTCAGTACTTCGGCTTTTAGTTCGACCGACCCATTCTTCTTCATACGTTTGTACTGGCGGTCTCTCCTGTGTATTAGCCTTTGGGAATCTAACTCCGTTTGTTTTAGTTCTCCTTCTAATAACTCAATACTTTTTTAGTTCTCCTTCTTCTAACTCTATTTGTTTTAGTTATCCTTCTTATAGATCCATATTTTTTTTTGAGTTTTCATTCTTATAAACTCTATTTGTTTGATTTCTCCTTCTTATAACACCATTTGTTTTAGTTCTTCTTCTTATAGCTCCAAATTTTTTTTAATTTCCCCTTTTATAACTCAATTTGTTTGAGTTCTCCTTCTAATAACTCGATTTTGTTTAGTTCTCCTTCTTATATCTCCATTTGCCTCAAAAAACTTTATTTAATATTTATATTGTATTAATCCATTTGCTTGAGCTTTAGTTGGAGATATATATTAATAGGATTATTTTTGCAAGTGGAATTAGACCAGTTCATCCTCAGAAGACATATTATTTTCATGTTCTAAATCAGGGGTCTCCAAACTTTTCAGCCCGAGGGCCGCATTAACTATCAAACAACAGTTAGGGGGCCGACTTCACTCTCGAGGTCCAAATAAAACGAAATAAAACATGGATGTAGTTTTTAATCATTTATGCATTATTATTTCATTCAGTTATTATTTAAAAACACATTGATACACGACACATGTATACCTGTATTAGTGGGAATGGTGAAATTGTTTCCTGAATGCCAAAATAGCAGTGATTAGCAGACATTTCTAGATTTAGATTTGATGTCACAACAGTGACCTGAGATGATGATCGGACAAATTGGTCTTAAATTGTTCTTCACTTATTTCGTTCTTGACAATGTTTGTTTACACAGACAGGGTGTTCCTAAGTTTTAAAGGTACATTGATGCAAATGTTTTGAATTTAGGGAAGTCTTATTTGTGGCGAAAACTAGTTAAAAACTCACCTGCCCTTCTTTTAACTTGTCCCTAAGGAGGTCATTTGCTTGCACCTCAATGACCTCCAGGTGCAGTTCATCTGGGCGACTGGCCACATCTGCTTCAAATGGGTTTTGAAAAAGTCTCACTTCTTCTGCCCTTAAAACCAATTCAGAAAACCGTTGCTAACACTGCAGCTGGAGATCTTTGATGATCTCGCATACAAATGACGTAGGGAACTCCGTTGTTGCTTCAGCCATGAAGGCCGTCCACTGCTGAAAGTGTGTCAAGTTGTTGGCCTGTACTAGTCCAAAAAAACAAGACGAATTTGGATCTGAAGGCTTTTAGGTGGGTGTATAGATCAGAAACGAGATGTTCCTCTCCTTGTAGTTTTAGGTTCAGACAATTTAAATGACGAGTTATGTCTGCAGCTATGGCCATTTTCCATACCCACATTTCATCAGACACTAATGCCTGTAGCTTGCCTTTACTTTCCATGAAGCCACCAATTACCTTTCTTAACTAAAATACTCTCCTCAGAACTTTCTCACAAATTGGGCATCTTATTTCTGTGTAATGTGGTAAACCTTGGGATTCTGTGTCTGTATCTTCCAACATGTCTCTGAACTGTCTATTGTTGAGCCCATTTGACCTTATTATATTAACCCTTTTTACCACAGGATTCAGTACTGCTTCACTTGTCCAACCAAGCCTTTCTTTATGCCACTTATTTTCTTTCCTCTATCAACAGTCAGGCAACTGAGGTTAGTCCAGTCCAAGTTATAATGAGCAAATGTTTTTTTTTTCAAATCATTGAATATATCCTCTCCGGTAACAGTGTGGTAAAATGCTATATAGGGAAGCCAGCTCGTGTGTTATTTTCATGTCTTCATCCACTCCTCTAACGAACACAAGCAGTTGAGAGGTAGGACAGCTGTCCAGCGATTCATCCATTTCACTTAAAAAATTGGCGAAACGTGCTTGCATTTTTCGCTATTTGAGTCACAATGTTTTCACTCATGTCTGTAACATGGGGGGTAAAGCTCCGCCACTATATGGCGTTATGTTATATTTTCATCTCATTGACTGTGAACTGAAGTGGAAAAACTCAGCAGCGAATAAGGTTTTGCCAAGTCATGATCGGTTAGAAAACATAAACGCACTATTGCACGCCTCTATTTTAATTCGGCAAAAACATAACGTCCACGTAAGCGGCATCTGATCTTGGCAGGATACAGGTAAATTTCCGTAATTTTTTCCGTAATCAAAAAGGTCTCCGCGGGCCTCATGCGGGCCACGGTCCGTAGTTTGGAGACCCCTGCTCTAAATGGACAATATTAATGCTGGTACAGTCCATTAAAACTAGAACGTGTATTTCTAATATTTTTTCTTAATAAAAAAATAAATCTTTTTGCAAAACATTTGTCTATTGCCTCTAGAGACGGCTTGTTTTACATCAAAGTAAATTTCGACAGTTATTTGTACGATATTATTTTATTAAGCTTAATCAGCACACATGAAAGTAATGGTAAGTAAATAAATGTACCATTGATATCGTTAAATGATGCCGTAAATAGTGTGTTATCCGTAGCAATATGAAAAGTTGAGTAAAATCGTGGGCAAGCTGCCAATTTATTTCAAACTTTTATATAAAATTTTTACCAAACTCCTTTTTTAAAGATTTTGCTTCTTTTTTTAACATTGCGTAATGAATGAAAAAAAAATAAAATACAAAGGAATACGTTTGTTAAAAACAGTTTGTGCAAAATAATTTAAGTGCAAGGATTGGCGTCTTCATAGACTGCGCACACAGACAGAATCAGTCCTAAAAAAATGTAATTACTTACATGTGAACTGAATGATTTGTTGTGTGTTGTAAAATGTATGTGATCATATACTTAATAAACAATTAATACAATGTATACAATCTAAATTATTACAATCTATAACAAATATACTATAAAGTAATGTTATATTCTCATGTTCGTGTATTGCCACACTGCATATGTTGGAGTTTGAGTTTATAAAACCATTTATAAACCATTGGTGCTAGAAAGAAAAAAAAAATAGCAGCAATAACAACTCAAACCCAAAATGTTTTTCAATTCAGTTAAGTTTGTACAACATCCATGAGGATTGTAACAGAAATAAATATTTGACATGCACTGATGTTAGCCAAAACGTCATTAACATCACAATTCGACAAGTGGCTTTCACTGAACTAAGTGAAGCATTAATATATGTAAAGCTGGTGACATCTTCACATGTGGAAATAAAAAGTGAAACTCGGCGTTTTCCGCTAATTAACAGTAGGTTTTATATTTGTATTTGAATTTCATTATTGAATGTTTAAAATTTAAACTGAATAATAAGTAGGCAACTGATTAACAATGTTAAAATAAACATGATTGTTTTTGTTTTTTTAAATTTAGCTCAACTTCTGATTGACACATTATTTAAATTAGAAAATTATATATTTATTTAATATAATACTTTATATGTAAGGAAAATAAAAAAATAATAGATTTGATACGTAATTAGTAATTTTATGACAATGTTTACTTCGATTTTCAAACAGATCCATCTAACACTACAGGTCGATTAGTCATCAACGGACAGGAGATAACAAAAGATAATGACCAGTGTTTAAGTGCAATATCTGGTAATGATTTAAGTATTCATTTCAAATGTGAGAGTCAAGTCTTACCTTGCTTGATTGATGTAGTATTTGATGATGAAGAAAAGCATGTGCAAGGAACTTACGAAGTCAAATGCAATAGAAAAATTAAGTCACAAAATTTAAAAAAATTTACCATCTACTATGGAGCATGCAAATTGGAGCATACACCAAAGATCAAAAGGTGTACAATTTCAGGTTAGACAATGGATTCAATTGCTATTTAGATTATCATTAACACACACTTATAAAAGACTAATCTGTACTTTTAATATTATTGAAATATGGCTTTTTATAATGTAAATAATTTTTTACATAAACTTGCAAAAGTATTCATCGTTTTTTAAATTCCTTTATTGCATATGCGTATTGCTAAAATATAATAGAATAATATAAACATAAAAAGTAATATGCATGGAAAAATTTTTTTTTTAAACTTATCCGTTTTATAATAAATTATTTTTAAAGTAATATGTCATTTATTTGCATTAAAAGTGACAGAGTGGTCTACACGCAATCTGCCAATTTTACTTGCTGTTATGGTGGCCTCTTCAACATTTCTTATATGTATTATTATCTTCATAATAGTCAGGATAATTTTGTAAGTAAATATTTTATTTCAACTTTTAAAACCATACAAATATCAAAATTAATATAAACGTATTGCTCCCAATCACATTTGATTGATATTGTAAAATATGAATCCAAAATTACATGTTTCTACATTTTTTATAGTATGCTTACGGTAATTTTTTTTGCAATGGTGATTGCATTTATGTGTGCATTTACAAAACTATATATTTGTTATAAGTTTTTTGTATTTTATTTTTTGCCCTTTCTTTTCATTAAATAATTGCTTAATTCTTTCATGTAAGGTAAATAAATAATGTCAAAGTTTTATTGAGAATTACGTGCCAAGTCGCATATGCCTATCGCCCATTATATTTCTCTGCTAATTGGAAATTTTAATCTCTTACCAGAAAGCTCAAGGATTGGCTTTAAAAAAACTGATGAATTAATTTTGATATTTTATTTATTTATTATAAAACTAGATACTATAACCCGTTATTTTATAAATATAATACATAACACACGATCTTACATATGTGTGTGGGTTATTACGCATTTTATGCTTGAAAAAATATAAATCACCACATTTTTGCATACTCTTGAATTGTATATTCAAGAAATAATAAATCAGACTTTTATCATATTTGTAGATAGCTTCTCCTGGCATTGCATTTGATCTAGTTTAAAATAAAAGCTATGTTTGTAAAGTTCAGTTTCATTTATTATTGTAAAGGGACCCTGTCGAAATCATTTAAGATAAATATTCAAGGTAACTTCAGAAGCTATGAAACGGTTGGGTGCCATTTATATTGTTATTTTATTGGGGTGGGCACGAGGGGTCATATAAATATCCCTTAGCTAAACATTCAATGAAATCTTTAGAAGTTGTAATCTAATTACGGGTACTTCTCCATACCGTGACTAAATTATTTCTTAAAAGATCAATTTATGAATTATTTAGATACATATCCAATGTCATCAAATAAATGTCCCCTGTCAAAATCCATTAGACAAATTATCAAGATAGTTTATAAATCTTTGTCATTAACATCGTTTGGGAAATGCCAAATATGTAACTATTATTCATTGCCCCAAAAGCAAGTGAGATTGCTAAAGTGTATACATTATAATAGCAAAACAAAGAGTCTATAACATTTGAATAGTAGAATATTAAATAGTAAGAAAGATCAATCAATTTACTTTGTAGCTTACTTTGTAGCCAGTATATAAATATATATATATATATATATATATATATATATATATATATATTTATATATATATTATATATCAATATATATATATATATATTTTTTTTTATTTTAAGGAAAGCGTTAAGAAATAAACTGCATCTCAAGCAAGTAAGTAGGCATACCTTTTCCTGTAAACTTAATACCTCCACTCCATCAGCTAAATTTTTCTGTCAGTGAATTNTTTTTTTTTTTTTTTTTTTTTTTTTTTTTTTTTTTTTTTTTTTTTTTTTTTGGTATTCTGTGGTTATTTCATTTTTTACACCATTGGCTATGAAGCGACACTGATCCTTTGAGATAATTCAACTAGTTGTCTGTGTATTAACAATGTCTAGGATAAAGAAAACAATGAGGTCCCGTCGTCCACCCAGCACCACCACCACAGCAGAGAGCAGTGTAACGTCAGTGGGATTTAAGGAGTCAGTTTTCGTTCTTTTAGATATATGTATAAAAGGAACATCTTAAAAGTTTTGGGTAATGAAACTCTCCTTGCAAAGCAGTTATTTATGAACCTGTAAACGTGATGAACAGAAAATCTCCACCAAACAGAAGCCATCAGTAGGGGATCTGTTACGAAAAGCTGCCAACATTTCGCCTCCCTTATTTTGGCGCCGGCCATTTGCCCTCGATTTATTTTGCTGACGTTGATCAAGAGATTATTTAAATACACAAATAATTATACACGTTTCATTTAAAAATATATCTGTTTAAACGTTAAAGTTTGTTTGTCGGTTTCTGTTTGTAGTTTGTTTGTTATTTTCACATAATTGCCGTGCTGGATATTGTATAAAACACCTTAATGTAATTAAAGTGAACGACTGTGTTTATAGTTCTGATTATTAAACTATATGTTTCGTCCAATATTTTTTTCCGTAGCAATTGGAACGTAAAGGAAAACACAAGACAGAAATGGGAGATTTTTTGGTAAGACCTGGAATGCAAGTGCCAAATTATTATACAAAGTTGTACTTACACTGAATCCTTTAACAACATTTTTTTTAAATGCGTTCATTTTATATATATATATATATATATATATATATATATATATATATATATATATATATATATATATATATATATATATATATATATATATATATATANATATATATATATATGTATATATATGTATGTATATATATATATATGTATATGTATATATATATATATATATATATAATTTGCTTATTATATCTGTGTTTATTTATTTATATCAGAGATTGTGCGCATGCAATTTAACGCGAAGGGGATTGGTGTAACAAAATATTATATTGTGTTGTATGGGTGGGAATGTTAGAGAGCAATGTTATGTAACAATTGTTATTATTTATGTTTAACTTTTTTTTTCTCATAATGTATGCTTTTCAAATTTAATAAATAATTATAGCACTTTTTTGCCTTTTACCTGAAAATTGCTTGATTATTTTGTTTTTAAATTTTTTTTTTTTAAATTTTATTTTGGGGGGGTGGCAGGGGTGTGGTTTGCTAGAAATGTAATCTAATAGGTGGTGGTTGTTCAGAGGAATTAATATATTACGATTTAGGTGGGTAGGGATAAGTAAAAACTGTAATATTTTTGGGTTCTAAAATTTGTGCACACCGAGTCGTCTTAAAATTTTTGGCGGCTCGGGCAAATTACTGCCCTATTCCTGTCTAATCCATTGGACTTTTATCAAGAAAAAATCGTTTGGGTTCCAAGGTGTTTTTTTTTTAGAGATTAGTTGTACCAATTCTTAATAATTTTAAAATCTAATTTACATTTTATTTTTAGCGTTATAATGTCGTGCAATAACAATATGTGCTATTGTTAATGCTTTTGGACTTATCTACTCTTCAAATTCATTGCTACCTTATTTTTACTAGAAAATAGTAAATAAACGTACAATTATAATAACTACACATGTTCGTTAGTGCAAACAATGTGGGTTGTTTTAACAGATCTTTACAAAGATCATTTTATAATAAGACTTTTGTAACCCTTGGGGAAGCTAGAGAAATCTGAATATTTTTTTTTTAAATATAGATTATTGATGAAAATTTTTTTTAAATTGTATTTAACATAAATATTTGACTCTCTTCTCAGCCCTCTCACGTGAATCAGTCAACGCAAGATAGTGATCATATTTCTTTAAGTTCTGAGTCAACTCTTTATATCAGTGCAGCAGAGGACTAGTTTCCTTCTCCTTCTAATTAAATATTACAACTGATGTTTTGAAAGGATTATATGTATCATTGTAACTTGAATAAGTAAGCTATGAACTTACCTTCAACAACGTGTAATTTGATAAAAGAGCCTATGCCTGATAATTTCATTTTTCAACTTTTTTAAAGTTTTATTAACTAAATGATGCATGCACCATTCGATACATATTCAATGGGATCGATACGAATAACGTGTGATGCCATGGGTATCATGTTTTATTTGAAAACAAAAATATGTTGTTAAAACCGATACTTTTTTTATTTGCAGAAGAAAATTAAATTAGATTTTATAATCTAATATATCCCTTTTTTTTACATTTCATTATAATCTTTCTTATTCACCCATCACATCCTTTAAAATATTTTTAAAAACATATACATTCTAGTATGTACAGAAATTAAAATTTTAAATAGAGATTTATAAAGCATTGTTTAAATAAAATACGTATCTAGATTTTTTTAGAATTCAGTCTGGATTTTAAAAAAAAAACACTTCGATCGAAACATCAAATATAAACCTGAATAAAATTAAAATGATGTGTGATTTTGAAAATATTTCCTTATGATATATATACAAAAAGGAAATATTAGTTATATTTCCCACTTAAGAACTCTTGGCACAAATGTTTACATAATACCATAGCTAAAAACCATACTTAAATAAATATATATAATTTAATAAGAGGAGATTACCGCCTACCCCCCACTAAAAAAATGTTTTAATTTAGAAAAAAAGTGTCATGACACACCACAGAAGTGTCCACAAAGGACACTTATATTATATTATATGATATTAAAATTGTAATTTTATGTAAGGAGATGTTATATGTTCTCAACTCAACTTATAAAACCTAACATTGACGGTGTGATTTCATTAGCCAAGCATAAGTCACTTTTCTTATCTTTTATTATTAAGGACACTTTTTTTACAATTTCTACACTAAATAGAATGTTATAAATATAAATATTTTACTAAAAATGCATATTGTTCAAAATCTTTTCTTTTCTGATATTCCTAACACATTATTTCGCCTGGCAGCATCTTAAATCTAAGTTTTAAAGCCAAATAAATTGGTTTAATATGTAATCATTTTAATGCTAACTAGCAGGATATAATACCTGTTTTATGAACGTTTATATTTGTAAAAAGATCCTTGATATAATAAATAAATGTACAAACATCAATTTAATATTATAAAAGTTAAAACAAATCATATTTTGTAAAAATATATGTTGATGACTTTTTTAGGTATATTGTTAGTTTCCTTTTAATGCATTTTGTTTAAAAAATCATTTCTGAAAAATTTCAATTTAATTATATAAATATTACCATTTCCTCATAATAGTGTCCCTCCGACACTATTACTTTGATGAGTGAAAAAAAAATCTCACAAAATTCGTTAAAAACAATAATAATTAGTCTAAAATTGTACTGTTCATCTCTGAAATTAATAAAATGCACATACGTTTTGCGCATAATTTTTAAATAAATTCATTTTTTTAAACATTTAATGTAAACGTTGAAACGTTTAGCTGTAAAATAGTTTTCTATTTAAATTTATATTTTTAAACATTTTGTATAGCCAACATAATTTTAGCTCTTTAATAGTTTCATTTGTTAGCTTCAAAAAAACCAAACAAAGACATTGATTTAATGTATGTGGTTCATATTTTATAGCTATTTTAATGCACATATTGTGGATGTAATTTACACAACTTACGAAAATGTGTTTAACTTTGAAAAAGCGGACACAAATCTTTTACATCCGATTACTGTCAAGCACCTCAAACAGGGAAGGTTTTTAATCTAAATTATTGTCTGAAGCCATTTTTCGTTCTCTATGTGGCTAAATTATCTTTAACTAGGCATGTCTTTAAGATATTAATGAATACATGTTTCAGCAAATATTTCAAAATTATTTTTAAACTATTAAATTTTGAACACTTCACTCTTAAATTATTATTTTTGAAAACACATATCGGGAGGTGTATATAAGGGGGTGGGAAGCTAATGGTTAACATAATATTATGTTTACGACTGAAATAAATAAAATTATGGTTGATAAACCATAGCTAAAATATTTTAATTATATTATGTTTCAAGACACATAAATGATTTTTCACCATCATAAAACTTGTATAAAGAGATATTCAGAGCTCTATGATTCTACTATATATTTAATTCGTGTAAAGGTTGAACTATATTATTTGTAAAATATGTATTATATCAAGTGCACGAACATTCTTTGTGTTTTTTATTGTTTGTTTCTGTAATCCCCATTTGATATATAATGTTTGAATATACCCAGGCTCTGGTGACTACGGAAAAATATGCCCGTGTTTATTATTTCCTTACCAAAGGGTGATAAAAAGTATATTTGTCCTATTATATTTCTTAAACATAATTTGGTAGATCCTAGACATGTTCAATAGGGATATACTGAGATATTTTTAATTTTTTTCGAATCAGATAACGAAAGCTGTGTTAAATTTTTTTAAAATAATTTATCTTTGTGAATGGGATTTATCCTTTACGTATTTTACTACAAGAATGTATCAGTTTAATCAACTTGTTATTTTTAAGTTCAATGACAAGGATCGACATTCTTGAATATGGAGCAATGTCAATTTTAAAATATGGAGTTCTTCAAATTTGAATATGGAGGGATTTCAAAATTATTATGGAGCTCTTTAAAATTGAAAATGGAGTGCTTTCAATTTAAATATTGACCGCTTTCAGTTGCAACAATGAACATTGCTACAAATATCACTAATTCTTTACTCCATTTTTTGCTGAAAAGTTCCTTGGGCTAGTAAAATTTCATTGTAACAAAAATACCTTTGGAAACTACCAAAATATTTAAAATATACTGACATTCACTTTCATTGTCTTTGACCCCCACAAGGTGTTTATTCTTATTTGTGTTATATATGTGAGGGGAAAAAAAAGTTTTTTTGTTTGTTTATTCCAATAAGAAAAATCAGTAGTTTAGTAAAAATATTTTGCATGTTTCTTTACTCTCTATTATAGCCCTCAGAGAAACCTAATATGTGAATTTTAAAGTAATTATGCATTAACAATAGACTCTATTTTTTTTTTTTTTTTTTTTTTTTTTTTTTTTTTTTTCTTTATAATAAAATCTTTTTTTTTTTTTTTTTTTTTTTTTTTTTTTTTTTGTAAGCACTAACGTACGATAATGATACTATACAAGAGATCTAAACTTTCATTTTAAAACAAAGGTAAAATTGAGCGTTGTATGATGTCTTCTTTTTAAAGTTTAAGAATATATTTTCATTTTGCTATATTTTCTTGAAATAAAAATATACAAAAACAAAAAAACATATGATGTATAATACGAACATTAACTATAAAGATTTAACATTTTTTTAAATACGTTTAGGGGGTTTTTCAGCACTAAATTAAAGATTTTTTTTTCCTTTTAAGGGGACCAAAAAAAAAGAGAAAAAACGAAAGAAAAATAGATTGGTGTACAACACTGGGTCTTCATATTACTGTTCCATACATTATTTGATGATATTAATTTCTTTTACAAAGTATTTCATGGCTTTCTAGCGCTTAGCTTGAAAATATTATTTATGTAATTCAAAATTCAATGTATTACCTTTTGTTCAATAAACTAGTTAATTGTTGTCAATTGGGGCAAGGTGGACTTATTCAACATTAATTCGCATAATTTATGTGCTTGTTTTCATTAAAAATTTTGAAAAGTTTTTTGGGGGCTCTTTTTTGTTGTTTGGTTACCCTATTCATTGCAGTGGCATAATCAAGAAGGGATAAGCGAAACTCATTTGGGATATCCATCCTCCGAAATCAACTAAGTCGTCTTCTGCTCACTTAATATTAAGTCGTTACCACGAAAATTCTCGCTGCCACTCGAAGGAGTTGACAATGATGCAAGCAATTTAAAAAAAAAAAAAAAAAAAAAAACTTTTTGCTTAAAACCCACGAGCAATTACTTTTTATAAACAAATATTAGGAGTACCCTAAAGAAATACTTTTTGGAATGCTTTATTTCTTTTTAAACTGCTAATATATACATATGAATAAAAACATTCAAAAGCACTTTTAAAAAATGCCTTTGCCCTGTTATCAAATTACATATTGTGATTCTGAATTGTAATTAGAGCTGTTGTTTTTTGTTGTTGTCTTTTTGTTTTTTTGTTGCCGGGGGCGGGTGTTGCGCTAATTTTTTCATTATGTTTGTAAAAATTCAATAAAACTCAATTGAACACATTTAACTTTTTATTTTACTATATTTTATTGAAAGTAAAATGGGGACAAATAGTCACATACATATTTATTTCCAAACGAAGAATAAAGAAGATTGCTTGAAAATTATTCAGGTTGAAAACTTAACTATTAACCGACATCATGTTGTTTTTGCGTTGATATTAAATTCATTGATTTTATTAAAAAAATCCCATGTTTCGTCCGATTGGTGTGTCCCACGCATGTTATTTGAGTTAAGAATAAAATTGAAAAATTGTGTGTTTCAGTGAATTCCAAAACAAATATTTTACACAACTCAAGTTGATTTGTTGACTGGGTACTTTTGTAGCACTTGCGCCCATGCCATTTTATCATGCTTTACATACCGCGATGTCCTTAATCGTTTTAAAATAAAAAAGAATTGACATTTTTCTTAAATGTCATTTCACCATTTTCAATTTCCCTCAAAGATGGACACAAACAGTCCACAATTTAGGCGCAATAGCTTTATCTCTTCTTTGTGTCCATTCACACTGGGAACTCTCAGATAGGACTGTGTTGAAGAGCGCGGGTTCTGTATGAATGCATGTTAAGAAATCAGTTTTTGAAGATATACAGATGAAGGAAATACTGACATTGATAAGATTGGAAGTTGTTTTGTTTTGGTTTTTTTTTGTTTTTTGGGTTTTTTTTTTTGTTGTTGTTGCTTTTCTAAAAAAAATCTTTGAGCTATGCTTTTTAATGGAAACGTTAAAATTTCTGAATCATCGATAACACTCAAGCCTTCGATGGGCGTATTGAAAAAAATTATTTAAAAATCAGTAATTTAATCCTTAAAATTATTATTAAAATACATTGATTAATATATAGATATGCTGATATAATTTAGGAATCAACTAATGGAGAATAAGCGCCTAATGAAAGCAGCCAGAGCTGATACTCTAGGTATATAAGAAATAGAAACGATCCAACTTGTCTGGAAAACCTAGCAAAAAGCATCACATCTATAATGTATTTAAATTACTTGCAATAAATGTAGGTGTAATAATTTAAAAAAGAGTATATACCGGGTAGATGAATTTTACATTTTCAAATATATGTCATAATAACACCAGAGGACTACATAGGAAGATGTAAGGTGTCGTCTATTAGAAATAAGAATCCAGCTAATAATATAATATTATCATTAAACCTTTTTGAAAGTCTTCACTTTATATTCGTCGATATTAATAAAAACATATACTGGAAACATGAAGAGTAATATATCCTATTGTTTCGCGTGAATTATAAACACTGGTATATAAGATACAATAAAACCAATGGAAGTTGTTATCAATGCTCGATGACATTGGCTCATGGCATTACGTCGATACACATTTGACATACAAGACAAAAAAAACTAGCAGAAATGTCTGGTATCATAGACAAACATATAAAATAGTGTACATAATGATCATAAGTACAAAAACTAGGGATGTGAAATATATCAATGCAAACGACCCCTTGTGACATGTAAAATAATTTGAGAACCCTGATTGTGACATAAACTAAAAGGCGTTTTGGACAAGAGATTTAATACAACTAATATAAAGCTGGTAAGGGATGATTAATTTCCATATACATAATTGAAATTCACGAATACAAAGCATCAGAAGTCTTAATGAATACCTAGCAAAACAGCGTGATTGCTATAAAAACGGATAACTGAAGGTAAACTGTTCAAACAAGATAAATATAATTTGCTCGTTACTATAATTCATATATCGATCCAACAAAATAATATCGTTATAAACACATAGTAACATAATCCGGCAAAAAGATATCGCAAGTTATCTTCTTCTTCTATATATTAACGGCCCACGGTCAAAATATTGATCATTCTGGCTACTACTCCTATGTATGTAGAGAGGATTCGCCAGATTTTTCCCCCTGGTATTGAAGAGGATTTT